GGGGGGACTGCGATACGAAAATGAGGTATAAAGTGAAAGTACTTCATGTGATTTTCAATCATTTTCCCACTTTCAAGTATTGAATCAATATTCATTTATGACAAATGGCAGGCATTTTGATAGTTATCATTAACACTTTAGTTGACTTCAAGCTTCACAGGGGGGAGAAGGAACATCAAAAAGAGAAGAATTCGGGAGGGGGAATAGAAGAGTGATCCACAGATGTAAAAGTGACAGACAGACATAAAGGCAGAGAAAAGGTAGGATGAATACTGTTGAAGTGGTGGAATATGACATACAGTGGGGTCATGGTAGTTTGAAGTCAGAAGTCAACTGCCTGTTTATGGACTTTTTTGTCGTATGAGACTACGTTGTCCAGGGTACACCACGTGGAGGTAAGTCTATCGCACATACCAGGAATTATAACATAAACCTCTCTAATCGTTTTAATAAAATGCAGACGAGAGTGGTGCAACCACATAAACTTCTGCGACTTCAATATGCAAGCTTTTAACTGGTGTCGGACGATCTAGAGATGAATCGTGCAATATATAGTCGTAAAGCCACAAGAGAATTCAAATCTCCCATCATTAAAATTAGTGAAATTGGCACAATCGTTTCAAGAAAAAATATTCCTAAACAGAAATTAGTTTCCCATGTAACGTGATGATGCTATGGATGAAGAAGCTTAGAGTAGAAGCCATTCGTTAATCCGGATATCTTTTTGAGCAAAATTTATTTCCTTTTCTCTTATTAATTGCTTATTTGTAATTATCTTGACTTGCTAATACCGTGTTAGATAAAAAATGAGAGATATATTTTTCTGTGAATCGCTTCTTGAAATCACTCAATACCCTTAAAAAATTGAGAATGCACTCAAAGGAATTAAGCTGTTTGAATTTATTTTTGGGAGTAAAACCTAGTCCACTCGAGGAAGGTGTGGTTAAATTGAATAAATATATATTCAATTCAAATGTTAAATTAATAAATTAACCATAAAGTGCATATATGGGGATTGTGAATTAAAATAGCTAGGCTAAGTCCGAGCCTTTTTAACCCTTTTTTCCACAGTCAAGCAAAAAGTAACCATTCGTAAATAGCTAAAATCGGTTAACGAAGAGTAAACAAGAGTGGTGATGAAGAGGCACCCGAGAGGGGGGGGGGAGAGAGATTCTCGAAGTTATAGTAGCTTTGTTTGATCCTTGGATTCGGATTGGGCAACATTCACAGATTTCCAACTTAAATTTAAGAGCCAATTTTCAAATAAATTCGTCTTTTTCTCATGCAGTAATCAAGACGACAAAATAATGTCAACGAGTATGAGGTGGCTGAATCACTTGAATCTAATCGAATTTGTTTTATTTTTTGCACTAGGCAAGTTGGCCGATGAACAAATTCCAAACCACTGACGTGGCGTTGGCAGCCTGGAAGGTCAGTTCAAGTCTTATGCGTTCAGGCAACTGGGTTGATAAACTTTTTGATGGAATGAAGCCAAAGCGAAAATATTTCGGTTAAAATGCCTGTTCAAGTAAAAGTGCGAATCAAGAAACTCGCATTTAAAAGTACGAGTTTTAACACAAGAGGGAACATATAGTTCGTCAGCTACCCAAACCAGAGTAGATACAAGTTCAACAGTTTACATTGAGCTAGCTCCTGTGAATTGATTCATCTTTAAAGTGCACCGTTATTTGTCTCAACTGCAAAATACACGAAAGTTGTATCGGATTGCCACACTAATAAGCCTTGACTATATACAGAAATCCTAATGGCCTATGTTTGGAAAGCTATAGAGGAACTAGACGTATCACGTGGAGTACGTTTATTTGGGATGTGTGAGTGTACGTGTGTACAGACGAAAAGCTTAGTTATTATTATTATTAGCATGATGAGTAAGCTAAACGTAGTAAGGTTGGCTGGGAGCTCACCACGCTCACGACCGCACGTTCAAGCCAGTCTGGGTGCGCATGAGATTACTTTATTCAGTGGTGACAGCGTTGTGTGTTCCGCTAAGTTAAACGCAAGGCAATCGTGTCCGGTACGTAGTCTAAACTCAGCAACGGCTTCGATTCTTGGCCAGTCGGGTATGTCGGAGAGTGCCACTGTCCACTGTTTCTCTTTGGGGCTATGTCGGAGAGTGCCACTGTCCACTGTTTCTCCTTTGTTCGAGCTTTAAGTTCGTTGGAACTTGAGGCATTGAATTCTCTCCTGATTAAGGTCTTCATTGTATGGAAGACATCGGGCGGTCAATACTTTTCCAAAATTGTTGTCCCCTTCTTAGCAAGTGTGTCAGCGCGCTCATTGTCTTTAATGCCACAGTGTCCAGGAATCCATTGTAGGATCACAGTTTTAATTTTTCTCAGCAACTGTTGGAGTTTTGATACATTCGTATTCTCAGCTGCTTTTTGTGGCTCTCTGTTTCCAATTGAGCTTATTGCTGACTATGAATCCGAAAGAATTATTGCATTGGTAAATTTCGTATCCATCAGTGAAGAGATGGAGCCATTGATCTGCAGGATAGTGGACATTGATTGTCTCAAGGGCCAGTGGGAGCATTTGTTCAGGAGGGGTGTTTGATTTCCTGAAGAAGTCAAGCAGTTGGGTGCAACACACCACATCAGTGTCTGCTAATGGGTTCATTGGTTGAGGGAGGCTTTTTGGTTTGTCATCGATTTGTAATGTTTTCTTCAGTTCTATGGCTTTCTGTATTAGACCAGATTGCGTCTTCAGATGTCTTGGTCTATTCTCATAGGTGCTGAAGAATTGATCCATGGGAATGCGCAGTAGCTTCTTATACAGGATCAAGGCCTTTTCTTTGATAAGGGAACATATTGTGATGCTTCCGGTAACTAGGAGCATTGTATCAATGGGTGTTGATTTTATCCCTCCAGTAATTAGTCGTAATGCTTGGTTGTGTGCCTTCTCGAGTGGTTTGAGAGTCAG